ATTTAACTCCATTCACCACAACTCTTTGGGCCCAGCCATCCAGCCAGTTTTTTACCCAGCGAAGAGTACACTTGTTCAGGCCATGAGCAGCCAGTTTCTCCAGGAGAATGCTGTGGGAAGCAGTGTCAAAGGCTTTACTGAAGTCCAGGCAAACCACATCCACAGTCTTTCCCTCATCCAGTAAGCAGGTCACCTTATCATAGAAGGAGATCAGGTTAGTCAAGCAGGACCTGCTTTTCATAAACCCATGCTGATTGGACCTGATTGCCCGGTTGTCCTGTACGTGCCTTGTGATGGCACTCAAGATGATCTGCTCCATAACCTTCCCCGGCACCGAGGTCAGACTGACAGGCCTGTAGTTCCCTGGATCCTCCTTCCAGCCCTTCTTGTGGATAGGCGCCACATTTGCTAACCTCCAGTCAACTGGGACCTTCCCAAATAGCCAGGACTGCTGATAAATGATGGAAAGCGGCTTGGTGAGCACTTCCGCCAGCTCCCTCGGTACCCTTGGGTGGATTCCATCCAGCCCCATAGACTTTTGTGTGTCTAAGAAGTGGTGTAACAGTTCGTAAACCATTTCCCCTTAGAGTATGAGGGCTTCATTCTGCTCCTTGTCTCTGTCTTCCAGCTCAGGGTGCTGGGTACTCCAAGATTTAGATGACATAAATCACTTTTTCCAAAATAAGTGTTACACTTCAAAAATATTTCACACACTCAATCTGGTCTTTGCTATAATATATAAGAATTCATTGTCATATCCCCTGTAAGAAGAGAGATCTAGGTTTTGGCATGTCAGCAGAACTAAATGCTGCTAACTATTCTGGACTAAAGCCCTAGTGTAAGATGGCACAGATATCTGCTCAACTACCAAATTACCTATTGAAAATGGTAAACAAGTTACTAATATTGGTCATGTAGCTGCAACCATGAACACTTTACCATTTAATAGCTTAATGCAGTCATGCTTAATTGCTGAAAACAGCAATAATTGCCTCAGGTATTGAGAAAAAATGAAGCCTTTGCTTCATCTGGGTAGGTCAGGGGCTCAATAAGAATGAAAAATGGTTGGAGAGACAGGCTATAACAGGAAAAATGACTGCTGAAAAAGTAGTAGCCTGCTCTGCACCAGGGTCAACCAATGCTGTAAATCACTTGTGTGCTAAAAACGTGTCAGAGGAGAACTTCCCAGAGCTTCAGGATGCTACCTACCCAGAGGTAATGAGCAATGAAAGTGCAATGACAGCAGCGGGAATGCATTTGCCACATTAATTATTACTGCAGCAGTTTGTACTGACTTGTTCCCAATGTAATTTTAGCAAAATGTTGGAGGAAACTTCATCGAGAATTTCCTGTTCTGTTCTGTTCATCTTCCTGAAGGTATATTATCACAAAAAAAAAAAAAAGAAAAAAAAGAAAAAGAGAAGACAAAGAGAGAAAGGGAGAGAAAGTGATACATGCTTCAACATTTTCTCTCAAAACAGAACTTCACAGAGCTTTCTTCAACGAGCCCTTGTCTTCAAAAAAAGCTTTCTTCAGCATCTGCTGTCTTTGCACTTTGGTTATGATTTGTAATAGAAGGAAATTGGACAAACCTCAATGAAAGGATTAAATTCCTACTTAGGAATGTGATGGTGTAAACTGGAGTGCATTTTACAGGTCTAGACTGCCTTAAGAATTCAAATCTTGATGGAGACTTGTTTCTGCTCAGTTGCATACTTCTTGGATTTTGCATTCAACCTAGTTGGGATGGGGCAGGATATTCTTTCACCCACCAACAGGATGTGAGAGATTCAAGGCACGAGAAACAGAAGGAGAAGAATCAAGGGGAGAAAGCAATTGGTTATCATCAAGAACTATAGTAAACAATGATCACATATTGGTTCAGTGAACTGCAGAAGCACTGAACATGGACTTTAACACTACCACTGACAGTTATTTTCATTTGCTTTCCACGATGACACCATCTACAAGAGCTAACAAAACAACATAAAAACTTACTTGGAGTGAAAATGCTCGTAAAGCAGGAATAGGGATTAAGGCAGCCATAAAGAAAGCAGTAACATTGCTGATAGATGTAAGGGCTACACTTGCTCCTGTTCGCTTCAAACATTCACCTGTTCTGTCCTGCAAAACAAATGACTTATCATACAAGTCAAGTGAATAAGGAGATGTCCTGCAAATGAAGGGGTCAGATACGGTATGGTAACAGTGAAAACTATTACAAGGAAATTCTGAATACAAGTGTGCATTTGAGAGTATGCAAGAGTAAACAATATACTAAGTACACTGTCCAGGAGAAAAGCAGATGACATATGAAACGCTTACATTTTTTGAGGGTAGCAAACATTATCAAAGCTAACACTGGCTTCAAAAGTCAAAGCTAAATGGATACTGACATTATATCAAATACATCAGTTGTTAGGTAGGATGCATTTTGTATCAGTGCAGTCACTTGGTGTTCTCAACATTTTTCAGACAAGATAAGCATACATTAACAGCATAATATCTTGAAGAAGCATGTAAGAAAAAAACAAAACAGAAACCCCAGGAACCACACAATAAAACCAGAAAGAATCAAACATAGGACCCTTTCCCAATGCAGTAGGTTATTTTGAAGCATGTGGAGGTTACAGCACAATGAATTTGTAGTGCCTGCATGCCGAAACAGCTGGAAAGAGCACATGGAAGACATTGCTTGTACAAAACAAAACTGGCATATTGCTTTTAAATTACTTGTACTTTGTATATGAAACTTTGGACATGAAACTTTGGACTGAGAATAAAAAGGTCAATAAAAGGAAAAGTTTATAAAAATGAGGAGGATCTTAGATTTCATAATGTGAATAATGTGAATGTCATGGTTAGTTATAAATAAAAGGAAAGAAAACCAGGCCCTAGGACAAAGATCTCTAGAACAAAAGCTTTTTTTTAAAGAATCATTAGTAACTAATTCTAGGTTGAGGGTTTTTATTTTATTTTATTCTTTTATTTTTCCCCAACTCCCCATTTTGTCATTACCTCAAATGGAATTTTCTTATTCTTGCCTGTTTCACTAAATGCATGTACCAGAAGGAATATATCATCTACACCAACTCCAAGAGCAAGAAAAGGCAAAACCTTGGGGAGAAACAAAACAAGCAAAAAACCAAGAACATTTTTATATTATTTTTATGATCTACCATGCAGCTAGTCATGAGATGGCTAATCAAAATAACCTTAACACTATGATCTGAACACAAATCCAAGGTTAAAATGAAAATCAATAGAATGCAATACAGCTATTAACTTTTATTCTGAAAGACTGTTGAGGAACTTGCAGTATACCATTCACAGCTACAAAACCTCACTAAAGTAATTCCAGTCTTTGTAGGCAAAGAATATCAGATAATATTTCAAATTATTTTCATAATATTTTCAGGAATTGAACATCCTGATATATTCAGATGCAAGGACAAAACTTGCAGCTTCTTATGTACAGCTGGGTGCTTGCACTCATATTGGGTCACAGAAAAACAAATATCCTAGAATCTACCTAATTAAACAAACTGCAGGATATCTGCCTTTTCCTTTAAAATTATTTGGCAGTACGTTCTCTTAATTTTTCACAGCACAAGCTACTAGATAGGAGAAAGACACAAGTAAAAATCTAAAAATCAAAATACTTTCTCAGCTTTTGTTTTTCCTCAAAGATTGATTCAGATGTGTTCATTTACTAAAAAAGTTCTTGTTAGCAGCAGACTTGTAGCTCCTTAATACCTGAGTTGTGGCAGCATTAAAGGAAATTCCAATCAATGAGCACAGACCCAATCCTGCAGCCACTGAGAGAGCAACCAAGAAGATTCCTGCCAGCCCCACAAGTCCCACCGCAGCATTGTTAAACAGGCATAGGCAAGCTGAAAGCAGAGCAGGGATTGGATTAGAATGGATCCTTCTTTATCGGCTATCTCCCCCCAACAACATACACAGCTTACAAGCATTTTTAAACAGAACAGACACATCAGAGATGTTGCATAGAGGAATAGGTGACAACCCTGACGCAAATGTTTACAAACTGCAATTTTTATTTTAAGTATTCTGAAAATGTTCTGGACTGTTGACTGGTAACAACAAGGCAGCCATTTGAGCCCTGCTATACTACTGGAGTCAGTTAAATAAAAATAATTTATTTTCTTACCATTAGTAAGTAGCCACTAGCTACTCTGATAACACTGACATCAGAAAATGACTTTAGAATGTCATCCAGGGTAGTCGTAGTAAAGGAAAGCACCTTCTGAGTAGAGTTTTGTGCAACACTTTGACGAACAACCTATGGAAAGAAAAATAAAACTAAGTGTGGCTAAAAAACCCACCCATTATCATCTTCTACAGCACATATCTAAAATCAACTACTTATGCCTTAATGTTTCTGTTAAAATACACACCCTATACAAGAGATTTCACTTATGCTAAATGAAATAAATATTTTTTGTAATTATTTCCTGCAAGCTACTGGTTATCAAACATCCTTCAGGAAAGGCCGCTGCACTCACAGCTCATTCAAAACATTTGACTTAACTCCTGAAATGTAAAGGAGGTTTCTTCTTTCCATAACTCTGCCACTGATTTGCTGTTGTATGAGTTTTTCCTTTAATCCAAGGTCCTGCAAACAGTAAAACCTTCATGGCTTCTCATATGTGAATAAGCAAGCAGCTTCTTAATTAAAAAAAAGAAGAAATCAGCTTTTATAAATAGTCTGTTGTCCTGGTTTGAGTCGCAAAAGCTGCCGAAGGACAAGGTGAATTGAGTCAATTTGCAGAGGTAAAAGCCATCCAGCTGGCGTTAGATGTTGCTGAACGAGAAAAGTGGCCAATACTCTATCTCTATACTGACTCATGGATGGTGGCAAATGCTCTGTGGGGGTGGTTAAAGCAGTGGAAGCAGAGCAACTGGCAGCACAGAGGTAAACCCATCTGGGCTGCTGAGCTGTGGCAAGACATTGCTGACTGGCTGGCGAACCTAGTCGTAAAGGTATGTCACGTAGACGCCCACGTACCCATGAGTTGGGCCACCGAGGAACATCAAAACAATCAGCAAGCAGATCAGGCTGCTAAGATTTTCCAGACAGGCTTGGACTGGGAACACAGAGGTGAACTATTCTTAGCTCGCTGGGCCCATGACACTTCAGGTCATCAAGGAAGGGATGCAACATATAAATGGGCCCGTGACCGAGGGGTGGATTTAACCATGGACGCTATTGCGCAGGTTATCCACGACTGTGAAACATGCGCCGAAATCAAGCAAGCTAAACGGTTAAAACCTTTGTGGTATGGGGGACGATGGCTGAAATATAAATATGGGGAGGCTTGGCAAATTTATTACATCACACTCCCTCAAACTCACCAGGGTAAGCACTATGTGCTTACAATGGTGGAAGCAAGCAC